GACCACCCCCGGGCCCCCGCTGCCGAACGAGCAGCTCTGCCTCATGCTGCCAAGCATCCGGCCTTGGAACTCCACCTGGATCAGGTTCTGTGCCAGAGGGAGGCCACTCACCTGGTGGATCAGGTATGTGATCTGGTGCTTTCTCCTCTGCTGTCCCGTGGGCTGATCTCCTTTTTTCTAGGAAGCAAAAGCAGATGAAGTGTTAAGCCTGGAAAGATGCCGAGCCAGAGAGCAAAACAAGACAAGCCATTTCAAGAAGCATTTGTTTCATGTTCATAGAATCCTGGAATGGTTTGGGTTGGAAGGGACTTCAAAGATTATCCAGTTCCAACCCCCCTGCCATGGGCAGGGACACCCTCCACTACACCAGGTTGCTCCAAGCCCCATCCAACCTGGCCTGGAACACTTCCAGGGATGGGGCAGCCACAGCTTCTCTGGGCACCCTGTGCCAGTGCCTCACCACCCTCAGAGGGAAAAAATTCTTCCTTAGATCCCATTGAAATCTCCCCTCTTCCAGTTTAAAGCCATTGCCCCATGTCCCATGACTACACCCCCATGTTCAAAGCCCCTCTCCAGCTTTCCTGTAGCCCCTTTAGGCACTGGGAGGTGCTGGAAGGTCTCCCCGGAGCCTTCTCTTCTCCAGGCTGAACAGCCCCAACTCTCCCAGCCTGTCTCCAGAGCAGAGGTGCTCCAGCCCTCCCATCATCTCCGTGGCCTCCTCTGGACTCACTCGAGCAGCTCCATGTCCTTCTTGCTGTTCGGGCCCCCAGAGCTGAAGGCAGCACTGCAGGGGGGTCTCAGGAGAGCAGAGCAGAGGGGCAGAATCCCCTCCCTCGCCCTGCTGCCCACGCTGCTCTGGGTGCAGCCCAGGGCATGGTTGGCTTTCTGGGCTGCCAGCGCACGGTGCTGGCTCATGGTGAGCTTCTCCTCACCCAACACCCCCAAGTCCTTCTCCTCGGGGCTGCTCCCCATCCATTCTCCACCCAGGCTGCACTTGTGCTTACACAGCTCTGGGCGGATTCCTTCAGCTGAAGCAGATCCTGGCTGCTCTTTCCCACCTGCACACCGGGACTGTGTTTCGAGAAGCTCTGTGGGGGTCTCATGTAATTATTTATACAATACACAAGGGTCCCTGTCCCCCCCACCCTGGTGACTGCACAGCACCTAACACAGCTCCAGCTGTGGCTGAAAGGGGAACTGAGCCGCGGTCTCCAAAATCCCAGCCAGCACTCCCCCCTTCCTGCCCGTACCTTGCTGAACGATTTCATGGTCTTCTCCTCTGTTAAGGACTTGGTCAGCCACTGCTGGGCGCCACTCAGCTGATCGTCACCTTTGATATCCACGAAGTTGATCTCTTCCCTCCCTCGGTTCCGCTTGCCTTGCAGACGCTTGAACTGGAAGAAGAGGAGGAACACTGAGAGTCACACACACAGGTCACACGCCAGCCTTGGCTCCACGAGCACGGGACAGGCCACGTCAACAAACATTCTTCCAACTGGGGTTTTTTTTCTTTAGAGGACTTCTACTTTGCTGTAGCACGTATCATCTCATTTTCCTCTGCATTTAAACAGCACTTACTCCTGCTTTCAGTCTTGCTCAGAAGACCCTCAGACTCCCAGTTCTCCCATTTAATGTGCTAGGGAGGCACCCCAAGTTTTCCTGCTAACACATCCACCTCCCATAACACAAATCCATCTCCAAAGCAAAGACACCCCTCGAAGAAGCGAGCGCCAGACGGGCTACTGCCCTCTGCAGCTCTGACCGGCTCAGCTAACCAGGCTGGCAGGTCCCAGATTAGATCAACAACAGGAAAGGGTTTTTAAACCATGGTTTTGAGCGTTTGAAGTAAGTGGGGAATTCACCACTGTGCTACAGGGTGCACCATGAAGGTGTCTGACCGGTAGCTCATCTGCACCTCAGCAAGCAACGTCTTTGCTCCACGCACCTGGTCTGCTCGAGGTACCTTCCACAAGAAAGGCTGAGCTTGGTGGAAATAACCACCACCACCCACTGGTGGGTGAACAAGTGAGCAAAAAAAGTGAGCAAACCCGTCTGGAGCAGCAGCCCAACAGACTGCTGGAAGGACACCACACATGTCCTTCTCAGCACGAAGCACGGGTCGTGCTGGTGGGGCAGGACTGGGGCTGCCAAAAGGGTCCCACGTTCTACAGCAGAGCTTGAACACAAACTCCACAAAGGGATAGAGAGCAAAGTGCCAACCGCTTCGTCATCTATGAAGGAGGAGTCGGTGCTCATCTCCTGTGGCGGTGCCTGGGCTGGTTCCACCTCCTGGTAGTACCCACCGCTGTAGTAATCCTGTCAGGAAAAGGAAAACCACATCGTCACGAGAGTGAAGTAAGACCCATCCTGGAGGCCCTGAGACGGAGCACAGAATCACACACCTGCTGCTTTTCCACCCAGAGGGATTTCACCCAGCCTCCGGGGAGCACGGTACGTCACGCGTGTACCTCGTCCCAAGCCTGACCCAAGGAGTCATTCATCACATCTCGTTACTCCGGCACTACAGGGCGTTTTTTCCAGAGGTACTCAACAACAAACACTTTGCTGGATTACTGGGAACAACCTGGCTCCGGCGAGCCGCGATTCTGCACCCTGGCAACAGCAGGGGCAGTTGCACGGGGGCATTTCAAAGCGAATGAAGCTATTAAACATTTATCCAGCAAAAAGCATCTCCGGCTCTCGTGCCAGAGGAATGCTGCTGTGCTAAGTGCTGTGGATCTCTGCTCCTTGTCCCAGCCAGCTCAGACAGGTTAGATTCCCAGCAGGCACAGACTGCTCCAGTGACTAACTGGGAGCCCCCTCGTCCTAAACAGAGCAGCACCACCAAGCTTCAGCTCCCAGTCGGTGAACTCACCTGGTAATACGCCCCGGTCACGCCGGCCTCGCTGTAGGCAGCTGCCGTAGTCTTCTCCAGGTTTGGGTGCCCAGCCATGCTGAGCACCGCTGGAGCCCGCGCCCGTCTTGAACTCCAGAGGGGCGTTGGCAGCAGCGTCCTGGAACTGGGGCTCTGTCTCTGTCCCGGGCGGTGGGTCCTCTGAGCCCACCGTGCCAGAGTACACGTAGGTCTCGGCGCCCACGACGCTGGGCTCGCTCCTGTCAGACAAGGAGAAGTAGTTCTCTGGCTCGACCTCTTCATCGCTGTCGTCCTCCTCCTGCGTGATCTGCTTGGTTACCTGCAGGGCAGCGCTCTTGGCAGCAGCTTTGATGGCAGAGGGAGAAGGAGTTGTGGGCACCGCCGGCTTGGACAGAGGTTTGGTTTTGGAGGAAGAGGTCGGGGCCTTGGCGGGCTTGGAGTCGGAGGCGTTTTCTCCCGCTTTCCTCGAGAAAGCGTGGGGCAAAAGTAACCGATTGGTCTCTTTCACTGTCAAGTTTTTGGGTTGAGGAAGCAAAGCGGATAAGCCGGAGCCCTCGCCGCGTCCCTGGAGAGTTTCGTGCAGGGCGAAGGGTTCACGGAAATAAGAGAAACGAGTGAGACTGATTTAGTTTTGCTGACTCCCTGCCAATTAGCTCCTCCGATTCTAACGGCGTTAATGGGTTTCCCGACGATCGTTTGCTGCTTCGAACACGCCGCAGGGCTTTCTTGCACAAAAGGCCAGTGGGACTTGAAGGGAAACATGGTACTTGTTGGAGAGGGGCTTTGGACACGGGCGTGGAGTGATGGGACATGGGGCAATGGCTTTGAACTGGAAGAGGGGAGATTTCGATGGGATCTAAGGAAGAAATTCTTCCCTCTGAGGGTGCTGAGGCACTGGCACAGGTTGCCCAGGGAAGCTGTGGCTGCCCCATCCCTGGAAGTGTTCCAGGCCAGGTTGGATGAGGCTTTGGGCAACCTGGTGTAGTGGAGGGTGTCCCTGCCCATGGCAGGGGGGTTGGAACTGGATGGTCTGTGAGGTCCCTTCCAACCCAAACCATTCCATGAATCTATGAAATATCTGCCAACTTCCCAGAGTAATGCCTGTTTTCCCGAGATTTAAATTTAGGAGATTGCCCAAAAGAAGGGACTTGAAACCCCAGGGGATTTCAGGAATTTTATACACTAAAAGCCACGCGCTAGTCGGAGCAGCTGATTTACACTAGTGGAAGCCCAAGATCTGTCACAGTCAAACGCTTCTTTTTCCCGTGCCACTCATGGAACTGAATATCCTACGTGTTTACCTGAAGAGTATTTTTCTTCTTTGTCGGTTCATCTTCCTCCGAATCTGACTGAGAAAGAAAAACAGAGCTTAGCACAACTCGAGACATTAAAAGAAAAAAAAAGCCCACCCACTCTGCAATTTATCAATTTCCAGTTTGAACTGGCCGAAGAATCACAGTTAACACAGATCTGGATTTAGAATTGCCAAGAGCCGAGCTAAAAAGCAACAGTGGGATGTGGTCAAGCTCTTTTTCACAGTCTTGCTGAAGCATCAGGGCAAAGAGATAAAAGTCTGTCCTGGTTCCTACTAAATAAACTGCCCACGGTGAAAGCAGGACCACAGCGATCGCCGCGACGTTCAGGGATAGCTGGGTCTGCCGCGGGGGCAAAAAGGAAAAAAAAATATCCATTTTTCCTTCTGCCAGTTGGCTCCAAATTCTAAACCAGGACCCAGACAAGGAGCAAGTGTAAATAAAGGGAGGTCAGGAGTTGCCATAAACCCCCGTGTGGCATTTGGGAACGAAGCAGATGCCCAGGAGCCTCTGCCAGGCGCAGACAAAACGGGGGTGTTTTTAGGAGAAAGAGGGAACAAGCAAGGGACGCCAGTCACGGGCCAAGGGGCTTCCAGGAATCCCACACTGGAAACGCCCGGACCAGCTCTGGTTTTCAGGTGCTTTTTCCTCCCTTCAGCGTTCGCTCACCAGCTTGGCACCGATGAGTCGTGACACATGGGTCAGGGCAATGCCAAGCACAGGTCCATGGGCCGGGAATGGATGGAGAGCAGCCCTGAGGAGAAGGACTTGGGGGTGCTGGGTGAGGAGAAGCTCACCATGAGCCAGCACCGTGCGCTGGCAGCCCAGAGAGCCAACCGTGTCCTGGGCTGCACCCAGAGCAGCGTGGGCAGCAGGGCGAGGCGGGGGATTCTGCCCCTCTGCTCTGCTCTCCTGAGACCCCCCTGCAGTGCTGCCTTCAGCTCTGGGGTCCCCAGCACAAGAACGACATGGAGCTGCTGGAGCGGGTCCAGAGGAGGTCAGGGAGATGATGCGAGGGCTGGAGCACCTCTGCTCTGGAGACAGGCTGGGAGAGTTGGGGCTGTTCAGCCTGGAGAAG